CCTCAGTAAGTCAGTCACAATGACAGCGCGTCGTAAAACATTTACATCAAGTACAAGACGTCAAAATGGCCGACACGATAAACGTGACGGGAGAGATATCCGAAGTTGTTAATGAACGTGTGGCGGTTACATGTGTTAGTCAGCATTGATCAACTGGCCGATTATTGAAAGGTGAATAAAGATACGTCAAAACAGACACTAAGATAAATTCATAGATTGCTGGAGACGGTCAATGTCAGCCTAGGCACGGATCGAGTCGACACTACGATAGTTTAGATGTGCATTTCATCGTTTGTTCATTAGGATTGGCCGCAGCGAGGATATTCATGAACAATCATGCAGTCACGCTCTCTGATATTTCTCAATGTATACTGAAACGCTGAGACCAAGAATAAAGGTTCTAAATGATCAGAAAGAACGCTTATGTGTGTTTTCGTGGTAGGGAATTCCCAGAGGTCTCCTCAGGAATGTGGAAGTAGTCCGTCAGTGTTTACGTCATTTCAAGAACACGGTCTCGTGAAAAACGTATGAACGTTAAATTGTGTCGTTCATACACTTATGAACGTCAATTTCGCGGTCATGTGACCGCTCTCTCGTCCAATCGAAAAGCCGTATATCGTGTAAACTTCAAATTAAAAAAAATATTGTTGTATGTACCAGTAGTGCATACTGTTGTATGTACCAGTAGTGTAAAATATTGTATGTACCAGTAGTGTATAATGTTGTATGTACCAGTAGTGTATAATGCTGTATGTACTAGTAGTGTATACTGTTGTATGTACCAGTAGTGTATAATGCTGTATGTACCAGTAGTGTATAATGTTGCATGCACTAGTTGTGTATAATGTTGTATGTACCAGTATTATATAATGTTGTATGTATCAGTAGTGTATAATGTTGTATACATCAGTAGTGTATAATGTTGTATGTATCAGTAGTGTATAATGCTGTATGTACCAGTAGTGCAGAATGCTGTATGTACCAGTAGTGTAAAATATTGTATGTATCAGTAGTGTATAATGTTGTATGTACCAGTAGTGTATAATGCTGTATGTACCAGTAGTGTATAATGTTGCATGCACTAGTTGTGTATAATGTTGTATGTACCAGTATTATATAATGTTGTATGTATCAGTAGTGTATAATGTTGTATACATCAGTAGTGTATAATGTTGCATGCACTAGTTGTTTATAATGTTGTCTGTACTAGTAGTGTATAATGTTGTATGTATCAGTAGTGTATAATGTTGTATGTACCAATAATGTATAATGTTGTATGTATCAGTATTGTATAATGTTGTATGTATCAGCAGTGTATAATGTTGTATGCATCAGTAGTGTATAATACTGTGAGTATCAGTTGTGTATAATGTTGTATGTACTAGTAGTGTATAATGTTGTATGTACTAGTAGTGTATAATGTTGTATGTACCAGTAGTGTATTATGTTGTATGTACCAGTAGTGTATAATGTTGCATGTACTGGTAGTGTATAATGTTGTATGTACCAGTTGTGTATAATGGTGTATGCATTAGTAGTGTATAATGGTGTTTGCATCAATAGTGTATAATGTTGTATGTATCAGTAGTGTTTAATGTTGTATGCATCAGTAGTGTTTAATGTTGTATGTATCAGTAGTGTATAATGTTGTATGTACCAGTAGTGTATAATGTTGTATGTATCAGTAGTGTATCATGCTCTTTGTACCAGTAATGTATAATGTTGTATGTACTAGTAGTGTATAATGTTGTATCACCAGTAGTGTATAATGTTGTATGTATCAGAAGGGTATAATGCTGTATGTACCAGTAGTGCAGAATGCTGTATGTACCAGTAGTGTAAAATATTGTATGTATCAGTAGTGTATAATGTTGTATGTACCAGTAGTGTATAATGCTGTATGTACCAGTAGTGTATAATGTTGCATGCACTAGTTGTGTATAATGTTGTATGTACCAGTATTATATAATGTTGTATGTATCAGTAGTGTATAATGTTGTATACATCAGTAGTGTATAATGTTGCATGCAGTAGTTGTTTATGATGTTGTCTGTACTAGTAGTGTATAATGTTGTATGTATCAGTAGTGTATAATGTTGTATGTACCAATAATGTTTTATGCTGTATGTATCAGTATTGTATAATGTTGTATGTATCAGCAGTGTATAATGTTGTATGCATCAGTAGTGTATAATACTGTGAGTATCAGTTGTGTATAATGTTGTATGTACTAGTAGTGTATAATGTTGTATGTACTAGTAGTGTATAATGTTGTATGTACCAGTAGTGTATTATGTTGTATGTACCAGTAGTGTATAATGTTGCATGTACTGGTAGTGTATAATGTTGTATGTACCAGTTGTGTATAATGGTGTATGCACTAGTAGTGTATAATGGTGTATGCATCAATAGTGTATAATGTTGTATGTATCAGTAGTGTTTAATGTTGTATGCATCAGTAGTGTTTAATGTTGTATGTATCAGTAGTGTATAATGTTGTATGTACCAGTAGTGTATAATGTTGTATGTATCAGTAGTGTATCATGCTCTTTGTACCAGTAATGTATAATGTTGTATGTACTAGTAGTGTATAATGTTGTATCACCAGTAGTGTATAATGTTGTATGTATCAGTAGTGTATAATGCTGTATGTACCAGTAGTGTATAATGTTGTATGTATCAGTAGTATATAATGCTGTATGTACCAGTAGTGCATAATGTTGTATGTATCAGTAGTGTATAATGTTGTATGCATCAGTAGTGTATAATGTTGTATGTATCAGTAGTGTATAATGATGTATGTACCAGTAGTGTATAATGTTGTATGTACCAGTAGTGTATAAAGTTGTATGTACCAGTAGTGTATAATGTTGTATGTACCAGTAGTGTATAATATTATGTACTAGTAGTGTATAATGTTGTATGTACTAGTAGTGTATAATGTTGTATGTACAAGGAGTGTATAATGTTGTATGTACTAGTAGTGTATAATGTTGTATATACTAGTAGTGTATAATGGTGTATGCACTAGTAGTGTATACTGTTGTATGCACTAGTAGTGTATAATGTAATATGTACTAGTAGTGTATAATGTTGTATTTACTAGTAGTGTATAATGTTGTATGTGCCAGTTGTGTATAATGTTGTATGTACTAGTAGTGTATAATGTTATATGTACTAGTAGTGTATAATGTTGTATGTACCAGTAGTGTATTATGTTGTATGTACCAGTAGTGTTTAATGTTGCATGTACTGGTAGTGTATAATGTTGTATGTACTAGTAGTGTATAATGTCACTCCAATTTCCGAACTCTCCTGTCTTATTGATCGTTTGGGCTATTTTAACGTCTTGTACTTGATGTAAATGAATCACGTCACGCCTTCTTATGAATGACTTCTCAACAGACCTTTGTCATCTGATGGTGATATTTGAATACATGCGTTTTGTTAGATGTTTCTGCAGAGAAAGTTGTGCAAACATACGCTCTTATTGAGGAAATAATTTGTTCCTCGTTACAGTGGGATGTTGTATGGCTGTCTGTGTAAACATGAAGTCACACGTCTTTAATGAAATTGTGCATAGATCTAGGCCTACATCCTTAGAGGGAAAAACTGTGGTAAAAAAATGACTTTCACTTTGTGCGAGTTCATTGCAGCATGTACCATCACAAATTGGGGGCCAAACATTGTATGCACGTGAATGTTAATGCGCCGCTTACAATTTGGATGCCAGTTTGTTGATCCCGTTCTCCTCTTGTGAGCGTAACTTGCAGTATACAGCTGGTACTAACAGCAACTGTTTACGTTATGTTTGCACTTTCCACATGCAGCACAAAGGAATGTGGACTTCAGATGACAGCGAGAATGAAGGAAAGATCTGTCACGTTTAGGAATATTGACATCAAAGTGTGCCAAACTGAATGTATCCAAGATTCCTTCATTATTGCATCCTGTCGTCTATCGAGTGATGGATCAGAGAAGATTGCGGCTCCGAGGTTGGTCTTCATATCCCTGTAAGTATTGTTTATGTCAAGTGGATGTTGTGTTTTGTGTTCGTCGTTTAACGCCGCAGCCACGAACAGTTCAGCTAGATAACGGTGGTCTGTAAATATTCGAAGGATATTCAGCAGATATTTCGTTAGATTATGGAAAGGATTACGTATTGTCCAACAATTTTCTTTATATTGCTGTCACCAGATCCTGGTGGAACCCTGTCCCTCCAAGGGCTGCAATATTCCTTCTTGATGTTTGGAAACTGGATGTGGAAAAGGTGGCTGTGTGCAAAGTAGGTGTCCCGGGCAGAGATTTGTTCGGTCTTTATCTCATCTAATTCTGTCATTTCATCATCTCCCCGAGCTGCAGTGGGGAATCTAAACCATGAACGTCACTCAATCACACAATGTGAGATACGTCTTTGTGTGCTTCATTTTATTATCCATATATGTTACCATATTTACAAAATCTTTAAAACAAGTCGTGTATGACTTAAAGTTGTATTCGCGTGTAATGTGAGTATCGCTAGTACCGTGGGAGGGATATTGTGAACAAAGTCAGGTATGGTAAAATAGGGCTTAGAGGTGATTCAGCCAAAAAAGCTTCGATATATCTCGCCATTATATGATTTCCTGCAACTTCAATGTTGTACCTTTATATGTGTATTGATCAGAATAAATAGAACGTTGTATGAACTTGTTGTACTACAGCAACACTGACTCTTTTACCGCGCAGCCAACAAGCAGAGATTGAACCCCATCAAGCCTGTAGGGCCGGGAACCTTTCAGCTGTGTGACGCATCTTTTGTGTTAGATCGAGTGGACATTAACATTAACTGTATAAAGTACCGATGGACACCAGTGATGGTTGCAGCACTGATGGGACATACAGATGTGATTAAGTTGCTTGTGACTAAAGGAGCTATTGTGTCACTCCTGGAAAAAAAAAAGGTGACAGCCTCCTTCACGTGACCTGTGGATGTGGTGAAGTATGGCCTCTCACATGACATGGTGGACATCTACAGCAGAGGACGAAAAAAGAAGACACCAGTGATTGTGGCAGCAGAGCAAGGAAGTAGAGTAATGGTTCATTTACTTGTGAGTGAAGGAGCCGATGTGTCACTTGTGGACAGAGCCAGTCACAACATCCTCCACTTGGCCTGTCAGACAGGGAATGTGGAGGTGGTGAAATATGTCCTGTCACAGGACCTGGTGGACATCAACAGTAGAGGGTGGTACAGCAAGACACCTGTGATGCTGGCAGCATGGGAAGGACATAGAGATGTAGTGGAGCTCCTTGTAAATAATGGAGCTGACGTGTCACTGGTGGATAAAGGCGGCAACAATATTCTTCACTACGCCTGTGACGAAGCATATCTGGAGGTTGTGAAATATGTCTTGTCACAGAACGGGGTGGACATCAATGCCAGGACAGACAGCAACCAAGGTGTTGAAAATGCAGACTCGAAAAGACGTGCATGGTCTTCTTTTGCCACGTGGTGGTAGTAGGTGAAATATTGTGCATACATTTATGTTGTTACCTACATTTGGGTGTGGTACAGCCTTCTATGAGCTGTTTAAGTACCTTATCATTTCTTCATGTATGACGAGATATACAAATTGTATATCTTCTACATCTTTGTAATACATATTGCTTGCAACGTTGTGGAATCTGGTAGAATGACTGTTAAATAAATAATGTGATCTGAAGAGACACATTACATCTCAAAATAATTTTATTTGTTATTTTTTGGATCTAGACCTCCGCGCACCTTGTCATATCTGACAACAGGTTATGTGACCATAGTGATATGGCCATTAGCTTCCATTTCATGGAGCATGCTTGTGATGTTGTCAGTCAATGCTTTTGGTTGACGTCGAAGTTCTCGCGCTATACTCGTCACGATATGGCTGAAATATTGCCGATGTGACGTAAAGCATTAACTCACTCACTCACACTCATGTACTATATCCTGTATGTTCATGAAATGGAACCTCTTGCATATTTAAGTCCAGGGTACTTGTCTAGCTCTTCTTTGATGGCGTATACTAACATAGGGGCACGGGTGGCCCAGTCGTCTAAGGCGCCGCAATTCGCCTTGCAGAGTTGCGTCCCTCGGGCACGCCAGAAAACTATGATTGTGGGTTCGAATCCCGGTTCGCCCAGGTTATGTTTCTTGGTTTCTCAGCATCATCCCCGTGCTCGTGTGTTTCACCCAAGTGGTAAACGTCTGAGACCTGCATCACTTCGGGCTTTCCTCCCACAATAAGCTGACGCGCCGCGATATAACTGAAATAACGTTAAAAGTGGCATTAAACCCAACTCACTCACTCACAATACATGTTTAAACTTGACATACTGCAACTGGATATGTATCGGGTGACGTAAAAGTGAACATGACACTAACTCCAGAAAAAACTTGCAATTCCGAGCCACTTCCTCAAAAAGTATTCACCGCGACCTCGCGTCACCAATTTCTCTAAATTACATCTCCATGTATCGGACAGCCAAACTATATATCCATGCTCATATTTATTGTCAACCTCTAGATATATGCGTCTATGTATGGGGGTGACTATAATTAAGACTATGAGTATATAACATTAATTACACTTATGCAAAGACATAACTAGGTCAGTGATTGAATATCATAATATGTATTTGTGAAATTGCACTTTATAGTCGCGAGATAAATATGTTTATATTATAATATATGAATATGACATGTTAGACTATATTGTTGCATTCATTGACAAATCTGTGTCGTAGATTATCTAGAGAAGCATACATAAAATTCCTCTGAATACCCATGTTTATTTACATGTAGATTATGACTCAACGCAGACGTAGCCTCCCTTTGATGAAAGACTAACCTCATGAAGCTGTCTCAGAGAAAATGTGAACACCTCTCCTTTGCTCGAGTAATTAACTTAAATATATCCATGTAATATCACGTCAAACGGGTGTCTCAAATAGGGACCAACCTTCGTGTGAGAAAGGTTTAGGTGCGTTATTCGAGTCAGAGACAATATGCAGGTGAGACGGTGTTTTGTTTCTGTCTGTATATGTGTACTGTTGATAACACACATTTTGTTGTTGTGAGGGATTTACCGAAACAAGGAAGAAATTCGGTACCGAGAGCTCTCGCTTTGTATTGTATGTATACTTTCCTGTACAGATGTATCGCATGACCTCCGATGTAAGTCGTAGCACAAGCCCGGTATACAGTTCTACAATTAGGACACATGTTACTGTAAGTACATATCTTCTTTATTAAACAAAACAACCTAAACACTTGCCACTAATCATATTCATGTCACTCTGTCTTTCAATCACGTTCATCACGTTCATTGATATATATATGTATAGCATATATATACATATGAGAGAGAGAGAGAGAGAGAGAGAGAGAGAGAGAGAGAGAGAGAGAGAGAGAGAGAGAGAGAGAGAGAGAGAGAGAGAGAGTTGCTTCACCAGAGAGGTAGGATGTGTGAATACTTTCCCTGGTGTCGTTTACCCATGTAATACAAATTAGTACATTTTCCCATTTAATACATAGTATTACCTTTACCCTTGTAATACATATTATTACATTTACCCTTGTAATACATATTATTACATGTTCAATATATTAATCATACAATAATCTTGACAAAATAATAGCTTCTGTAAAATTAGGCTGAACTTTTGAAGTGCACATACAAGATAAACGTAATACTGTCAAGTGTTCCGATGTACATGTGTGTGAAGTACACCCAGGCAGTGTTATGTAGAGCATTAAGGAACATCTCCTTATTTGAACATCTTTGTTACAGATGAAGCAGTCGGTTGACATTACAACCTTTATCTACTTACTTATACTGTTCTACAACATGAATGACGGATACTGTGAGTAACTCTGTATAAAATATTATACATCACGAAGGCAGTGATAAAATGTTACTTTAATTACTTTCATTTGGCTTGCCCGTTTCCATAGGTTTTTTTACAAAACAAATATCAAGGTACTGTCATGCGCCTTTATGTGGTTTCTTAAGCAACATGTATGTGCCTTAAGTGCATTAGACCATCTGGTTTCTGTCCGTTTCTATGGATATATATATAAGTCGATGAAGTATTAGTTTGCGTTGACTCACATAACACTACCATACAAATAATCATATGGGGAAAATCAGGGGATTCGTTGACATTTACTATTCCACACGTTTTGAGCATCAATGGTATATTTGGAAGTTGTATGATTTATTTCTGCTCCTTCTGACCTAGGTTCCACAGCTGAGCTTACCTGCCCTGACTTAGCCTACATAGAGAAGTCTGCTCTAATAAACTGCTTGACGTCGGAACCGTTCACATCTCTACAATACTTAGGGCCCGGTGATTTCCTTGGTCCGCAGTGTTCATCAACGTTGTGCATAGATGCAGAAGGATACAATGCAAGCGTCACCAACACAACCAGCAGTAGCCTCGGGATTCTGAATGTACAACCTCGTCATGCAGGGCAGTGGAAATGCAATATCCTCCAACATGGTCCCAGTGCATCTTGCACTCTCGTCATTACAAGTAAGTTCAACGCTCATGTTCAGAAGTAAATTCAGGTCATTAACGTTACACAATCACTTTTGTACATACTTCTCTTCCACAAATATATACCAAAACAAAATACCAGGAACAACACACATATGCCATTGCCTAGAACAATGGAATTAGATATAAGGATATCGCTTTGACTGTAGTCAATTAACTTTCCCTATGATATATGTATATATACTCGTACTTCAAATCTGAATGGTTTAATGCATCTGCCCAAATGAGAAGGGTGCCACTTTTCTCTAATCGCACGGAAATCTCACATTAGTACAGATATATACTAAATAATAGAGATTTCACAATGCGTCAACAATTCGGCACAAAATATCATTGACAGCATATCTCTACATGCGTGACAATTGTAATATCACTGGCAAAGCTTAACATACGTCGTTACATCATTCCGAAACATTTCGTGTTGCAAAGTGGCAAATATGGCAAAAATGTATGTCAACTCATTCTTATGGCGGCCGTCACTTCTAAATATTAATTTTGTATGAATGTTATATGCATTGTTATACATTATTCAAAGGATAGTTTGTGTAAAATATGTCATTAGATTGATGGAAAATTACAGAATACTTCATTATAGTTCATTGTGAGTCTCGTAATGAATATAGAGTAATGGTAAATGAATTATGTTACAACAAAGGTCCTGTCAAGACTCATTATGGAAGTTTTGGATGTAACTCTTAAAAATATACACAGTAATAATTCAGTGTTTGTGATTTTCAACCAAGTACACGTTTCGTTTGAGTGACGACAGCGTCAAAACAAAATGTTAAGTGTCACAAAAGTCACTTTGTTATTGTATTAGAAAACGAACTCAGGCCTTTGATACAGTTGCATTCTCTCCGGATTGAGTCATGGGTAATGGATTTTATTAAAGGGGGTCCAAAAAGACTCGTTTGATGCAAGTTAAGGAAATATGAACGACAGACACAACAGTGTATGTGGTATTCAAATAAGTTTCGCTTTGATTGAGTAGCAACAGAGTCCAGACAAAAGTTAAGCATGATAACAGTCACTTGTCAGATTGGATCGCCATATGTATATTTGATATTCAGTTTATAAAACATTTCAATTTTCTCCTTGAGTGTGTTTCCCTTTGTGTTTATCTGAATTAAAGCAGTGCTTTGTTGAAGAATAACTTGATCTACGAACGATCGTAAGCTCAATTTATAGAGTGCTAAGAGGTTTAGCTATGATGAGTTAGCCTAAATAAACTACATGATGACAGTGTGAAATTGTATTGCAAAACGATTAATGTCTCCACATATATATTCCTGTGTCAGTCGAAAGAGGCTGAACACAATAAATAGCTTTGTTCACATAAGACGTTGCTTCATATCATGATGCTCTATTGATGCTAAAACATAGCCACATACTTCAATCATTTCACCCTGCTCCTATGTAAATCAACATTAAACATGAAGATGAAACTGTATTGAGGGGTATCATTCATATATGTTTAGAATATGCGACTTTGTCCATCTTTCGGAAATTACTGAACTTCCTTTGCATAAATACAAAACTCCAGACTTCACGACGAGTCTGCTCTATATCCCCAGTATTTCCATTGTAATTACCGCAACACTGATATGTACTCTTGTAATGTGTAAAAATTGCGTCTCTGTACCAAAGTGTGTGGTTGTCAATAACTATTCAATTTGCATATTTTGAAGTGATTCAGATGCAATCAAAAACGTTATTTTGTAGCTTTTATTTATTTATTTTGAACGCATGTGGTACTCAATTTCCAACATATAAGATGGTCATGTCAATTGTCACAGTACGGCGATAGCCCTAACAAAAAAAAATAGACTTGGTTTCTCAAATGCAAAGCATATGTCTGTATTTATGAGTGACTGCAGTGTCGTTTACAATGTGGACAATAACGTAAATGCCCTGCGCATGATAAATAGCATGTAATCCATTCCAAATTAAGGACAAAGTTGAAATATGGATTTCAACTGCTTCATTCAATTACATGAACCAGAACAATTACCTATTGTGCTTTTGACTTCAAGGAGGAAACCCTTAAATAGAACTCCATGCTCGGCATGTAAATACTTAATTCCTACATTATCCTAAATGAAGACATATATGGGATACTTCCTGGCTTAAATAATGTAAATGGCATGCTTATATTCTCTATTTAAAACCAATTGTGTGAGTAGTGTTTAAAATGATAAATAAGGCTCATACATATTCGTTTCAAGGCGTCAATTGTGATATCGTGGTATCGTAAATATAGTAAGCACCTTGATGAACTTATGTGTAATTTAATAACCGGAAATATGTGTCGTGAAGTCACGCTGTAACCTGACGCATTAATCCTATGGGCATCACGTGGCACTTATGCCACGGCAATTGAAGTTCTGAAAAACACATACATTCACATGTCGGGCATCTCATGTCAGGCTCGCTGATTTTGTTGTTGCATGTCATAGTATTCCAACTGTGTAGATGTTAATGACATCAGTCACATGATTGTCTTGACCAGACTCGATTATTTACAGACGGCCGTCATATAGCTGGAATATTGCTGATCGGGGCGCATCAGAAACAAATAAACAAAACAAAAACAAAATTTCTGCCATGCGACGACAGCATGTAAAAAAAACAGACAATAAGGGGATGGGTTAGAAATCCAGTTGTACGATAGCGCGTTTACTGAGTTTGCAGAAACTACAAAATCTACAAAATCATAGTTAACACGGAAGACTAGTTTCAAAAATGTATTTGTGTTTATATGTGTTGAAAGGAAAATCGACAATTTAATAATGTTGAATCACATCTCTATCGATCGCAAGTTTCCTCACAAATAATGGATACCTTTGAAAACGCCTGTCATCTGTATGTGCATGGACTGTCGATTAATTATTGATAAGATCGAAATGACATTTCCAAGTTACATTTCTTGTTAACAAAGGGTGGTTTGGATGTTCTGTTCTTATAGCACAAACTTAAATTCATAATGAGTTTCACAGGATAAATTCCAAAGTGTTTCTCAATCTTTGGTGGAGAATAATGGTGGAAACCACAGTAATTTCATAATTCATTCACTTACATGTGTCAAGTGAGTGTGAGTGAGTTAAAATTTAACGTCGCATCAGCATTATTTCAGCCATATAGCGACGAGACCAATTTAATATATTTACAATTTAGTCATTTATGCAAAGTTTTGTTTAAAAACAAGTTGTAAAACATATTTGAGCAAATTATATTTAGAAACAATTCATGAAAATATTTGAGCATAACAATATTATATATACAGTTTTAAAACACGGGCTCTAGGCCACCAGTAACCAAAGCTAGGTCACCTCGCCGGGGATCATGGGGACTTACAGTACCTCTGCTTCCTGCATGATAACCCAGCAGGGTTTACGTCATCACTTTAGCCACTGGTGGTTGTGCACAATGCTAACCAATATTAAAAAAATACTCATCAATGAATTGGCTTAAAAACACTGGTTGATGATAGTTACATTGATTACGACAGGACTACGTATCACACAGGGGGGCAATATGTTTACGATACTTTAACCTCCTGGACAAAGCCTTCAATAATGTCTGTTAATAGTAGCATCACACATATTTAAAATTAATTATACAGACCAATTTCTTAAAAGTAATTTATGATGAGATGCCCGCTGACACGGGAAAATATATCTTTCAGATTTATGCTTTGATAAAGTGAATCCCCTGCGATTGCAAAGTCCACACAGTCAACATATGTCAAGTGGTGTGAAGTGTCGCTTAAGGCATGTCAACAGATGTTCTGAAGAAAAGACAAATACATTCAAATCTCGGGCACTTAGCTAAAAACGTGTTTTTGAAATGAGATGAAATAACTGAATCCTATTACACATGTGACAATATATGTATAATAAGTGCATAGTTTCACTGTTATAATGTATATATGAATGTGACATGCAGTAGCTGTGTACGTAAAGATTAAAGCACTACTAACAAAGGGTCTGTTTTATCACAACTGCTGAGAAGATCTTAATGAGGCCAGGGTTGCCACCTTAATAAAAGACCTGAAAGCTATGTTTTTGACGTCAAGTTGATATGGTGCTGACAGATGGATTGTCATGTTTCTTCGATTCGAACCCGTGACTCAGCGCATCTTTTATTTTAATATTTCCATGTTGGCTCATGGCCGGGGTTAAGCTAAGAACTAAGTTAACTTCATCAATACAAGTCTGCCCTGACAGCAGATGCTCCACCAGTAGACGGTGTTTAATATGCGACGTCCAGGCAAAATGTAACAAAGCACAAGTCCGGCTATGTGACGACAGTCTGTAAATAATCGTCTTTCTCCGCAGTGTCTCTCGTATTGGTGTCATAGTTATTGTCACTGTTTCATATCAATGCATTAATTTATGTGTTTGAATTAAGATCAGACTTCCATAATTATGGCAGTAAAACAGAAATTACACTCGCCTAAATCTGACCAGCTTATCAGAAATACACCTAAATCGTATCCGAAGCAACACAGTGTTGATATCTACTACTGTCAACTATTATCATTGCTGACACCAAGTATGATGGTATAAAATGCAACGTGTCCTTAATAACATTGCAATATGATCAATATTGCAATCAATATAAAGAAATGTATTCGGTGCATGCATGATAGTTGTGTAGAATAAGGTGTACATGACCCATGTACCAGTGTTATTAGCATATCTGTTTGTCGCTGCATTTGGGGCATCGTCTCTCTAAATTTGCGACTTGGCGTTTCGTCAGTTAAGCCCCGGTAAATACGCCAGGGAATACACCGAAACAATATCAAGTAATAAATCAATCTAGTATCCGTGGACATCCGTTTGGACTATGATCCTTCCAAATACACACAACGCAATAATATACACCATCCTCGATCGACAGTCGCAGTGGAATGTCCTTCCCGAATAAATTTGGTCAAAAGTTTAGACATTTTACTGCGTTGATTCAACAAAGCCTGCACATCAAACGTACAAAAATAATCTGCGAACAGAACAAGACAGTGTAAAACGACAAATTCAAACACAGAACCTGAGTCTAACACTGTTGAACACAGACGGAAAGTACCGATGACTTTGTGGAAATGCCACGTGATTATTTACCATTGCGTAATCTAATCAAAGCGAATGAGAAATTGGTGAAAGTCACTTTACCGGGAGAAAGCGTGCAGCACCTGCAGTTCATCTTGCAAAACGTGGGTATCAATTGAGTTCGACAATAATGCAACAGTCACTCCAAATTATCATGGGTCGTGGTCGAATTTTGTAATCCAGCTACCGCATGGCTGCAGGATGGCAGATCAGATATGCGATATGTAGCATGGCCCTTTGGGTATTACAAAAAAATTGTAACTAGCCTTTGGATTCGGTTCCAACAGACATATTCCGTGAGTGATCTCCACAATTTAGTGTGACCAGTACCTGCGTGGTCACAGCCCTTAAGAACAGACACCCTTTAGACATATCATTATCCGCAATCAGACAACAGGTACACGTTTATCGGTATCAACATTTTTAGGCTACAGTTGGCAAGACACCCCCATCTGTAATGGGCGCTGACGTGGTGGAGCACAATCGGTTTGGCAGTGCGTCCTTCATGGTCTGGGATGTCATGAGCATGAATTCTAAGATGGGCCTCATTCATGTGCAAGGCCAGAAATACGGACACGGCATCATGTTATGTAATGTGACCGTTTCTTTGGGTATGAGAGGTGGACCAGTATTAATGTGCATATAAATATTGATGCTTAGTAGAGGTCTCCCGCGTGGATTCTGGGTACGAATATAGGGTCCCAAACAACTTAAGCTTGTAAATAGCGACTAAATGGATCGGATAGTCAAGCTCTGTGACTTGGTTAATTGCATCTCAGCATATCCCAATTGCGTGGATTTATGCTCCTGATGTCAACCAATGGATTGACTGGTCTACACACGATTATTTACTGCCTGCCGTTATATAGCTTAAATATTGCTGAGTGCTGCCTTAAAACAGAAACATAAAACCTTAGTAGAGGCTTTGAACATAATTCAGTAGTTTCTAACTTCAACCTCTCATACTCTCCATATATCAATAGTTATGTCCGATTGGATAATGGTTTTGAACATATGTCAATTGGATATTTCAAACTTCGTTGATATATTCGAACTGTGTTACCATTTTAAGGTGGAATGTAATGTTTCAGAGACACCAATTTGCAGCATCACCAGTAAGGAGGACACTAATGTACTTGCCCAGGATCAGGAGCTGACACTCACAGTGGGCATACAAGACTACTACTGTTCCACAGCCCTAAACTTCTCACTCCAGACCGGGAATGTGACAACACTGCTGACGAAAGCTGACTCTGTAGCGAGTGTTACTCACAACACTTCTTCAGTAACCCTGAATGTGACGGACTCCCACTTGGGGGTTGTAAGACTGGTGTTTAGCTGTCACCATAAACAGACGAGCCTAACTTGTGATGGCGTCAGTGAACTCAGTGAGACTTTAAAGTTATTTCAAAGAAGCACAGCACCTGATTAGTAGGCTTAAATTGCTACAGGTCAACACCACACTTACAGTTATAGTTATTGAGCATCCAAATGAATTGGTGACATTGCAGTCCTCATTGCCATTTGTTTTTAATAAACATCAGTATCGTCTTATAGACAACATCTATTTTGAAATAGCCCTCGTTGCACACATACCAAATGTATGTAGCTCACAAATAGAATATATCAACGTATTCAATTCTTACATCAGTATCTAACAGGTAGCTACATCTGTTTCAGTGACTCAAACCTGCAGCATATCAAGTGACAAGGACACTGACAGACTTGGCCTGAATGAAGAGCTGACTCTCTCAGTGGACATTATTGTCTACAACTGTCCTGTAGCATCCATCTTCACTCTACAGACAGGGAACGTCCAACACTTACTGAATGTCAGTAGTGCCGGGACTGGCATTGATCGTGCAACACAAACCTTTCATGTGACCAAAACACACCTCGGTGGTGTTAGGGTGATGTTCAACTGTCAACAGAAACACTGGAATCTGACCTGCGCTGGCATAACGAAACTCAGTAAGCATCCATTAAGAGTCTTAAACGTAACAAAACTCAGGGGCTGACAAAATTGAGAATGACTATCGTATTGGTTCGTTGGAGGTTTTTGGAAATATATTCGTCGATCATTTTAATTGGATATTATCGTCGGGAATATTACCTCATGACTCTCTGGCTCTGAACGTCCTATCTACGGAAATTGATATCATACACAACTTTACGTAATCAGGTGGTATGTTTAGTAGAAACAGAAATGTAAAGCCAGCAATAAAATGTTTAGCGGAGATTGCATCTAAAGCCATGTTCTGTCTTCTAAATAAATCGATAAATTACATCATTGATAATAATATTTATTATTATCATGTTAAGAAACCGTTTCTCCTGTACCACCACGTTTGTTTGTTGTTGAACGCCCTCCCTGAAACATTCCATTTATATCGCGACAGTCTGTAAATACTCGTATATGGACCCAACAGTTAAGTGATTGAAAACATCGATTAACCCAACTGGAAAAAGATGGCACACACCAATCAAGTCAGTGAGCCTGATCAGTGGCCACTCACAACACGAGTGGGTTGCTAAAGAGCAATTCGAAACCGGATCTTCACTGGGGTAGTTTGATTTCAATCCATGTCAAAATATCAATGGTTATAAGACAGGGACATATCATTAAAACACGAAGGGTACGTTGTTTACATCAGTATATTGTCAATGTCTACTTTTGTGTTCCGGTAAACACTACTGTTGTGCGTGTTCTCGCATATTGTGTATATATTCGTTGTTGATACTATAATAGAGCTACCAGTTCAATCCATACAAAACACGCAACATGCATAAGGTGGACGCATGCCCCAATTCCTGCATATGCGGTGGCGGTGGCGGCTGTGTCGCGGTGATTTATACCCTGTACACAAGACACATTCTCGTAGTGTAGAAAGCGATTAAGGGCATTGTAATCTGACGTTAAACAGTCACCATCTCGTGGGATTTTCATTTTTCATGTGAACATTCTGTTGCAGTCATTATAAGCCGATAGTATGCCAATGCTGTTTGGCTTTGTGTCTGTTTTTCTCCAATAGAACTTCTGTATTGTTATTTAGGGAAGGGTATCTAACTATGACTTAAACGCCTTTTTAACGTTGCAGAAAACGTTGGACTAGCCACAGCGTCCACTATAATTATAGCTGCCTGCGTTGTTGGTGCGATAGTGTTTCTCATCATCGTCGTCATCATCATCCTTTTTCTCGTCAAAAGAAAACAGGTAACTCGAATAAAACCACAACCATCAGTTAAGCCTCCTTCCCCTCCTTTTCCTACCGTGGAGCTGAATGATCTTCCAAGTGCATCAAAGAACATAAGTGTAATAAATGCAGGAGTTTATGCATGTCCATAGGGATGTCGTCAACAGATCAAGTTCGCGAACGGAGGATGATTCACACGACTTATCATTAGTTAATAACGGGACAGTGGTTAAAGTGTTCGTTTCGTCTTGTGAAGTTCATGCCTAAAACCGGCGTAAATGGAAATTAACTGATTCATTCACTCAACAGTGTCAATTCATCTATGTTTCAACGTACCAGTAAGCAGGTTGATAAACATACCAACGGTTCTCAAACTCTTCCCACACTATGTTATCTAAGATGGAGATTGATAAAAATGTTTATTCCATTTATTCAGCAACTACTCAAAAGCGGTAACCATCACACTCATTAAAATACCTAAGTGCTCAGTGTGCAATTAGCAATACCGATCCAAATATGAAAGAAGAAGAAAAAGAATAATGTTTTCATAACATCAATAATTGTCCTGTGGGGAATCACCATAATGTGTTGTAGGTAGAAGAGGTGTTAGGTGTTTTTCTATAAAATGCGGAGCTGAACACTTATATGTCTCTCGCAGTTTGACATGAAAACCAGGATTGGTCGGCTCGGAGTCAGTATGCTGTGTCTTAGTTGGGTATTCATGTAAACTGCGGCATGGTATCGGTATTCGGTATGACGTGACCGGTGATCCACGAACTTCCGCCCTCCGGGCCGACGCTCCATCCACTACATCACCGAGGCGGTCTTGTTGTGTGAGGAGGAACCAAACAATTCTAATTTGTTTCACGACAAAAATAAGTTTGTTTGTTTTTCATTCTATTTTCTGGAACAAATTATGTGTATTAAAACCGTCCCTAAAGAGAGGCATTGTTATTTCCACATATCCACATAGCTCTTCTTGTTTTGTCTCGGTAGAATAGCCTCGCGGCAATCTTGTCTATAGAGTCGGTGGTCAGCTTCTTGGGCTGATCTTATTATGTACCTCGATGATGTGGGACGATGTCCATTTTTTCTGTATCGGGTTGGCTTGGCCAATACTTGATTATTTTACCTCCGTGGTGTTGCTGTAATATTACTGAATGTGGCGTAAAATAGGAAATACTCAAAACATATTGCTGTTTACCAATGGAGAGAAGAGAGCAAACACACATATGAGTGGAAGAGGGCATGTTAACAAGCCCATTCAACGCCGTCACTTGCGTGTTGTACATCTCGGAAACAGTTTCATTCCCCGACGACATCTGCATCGACGAGTCTCGGACATCGTTTCAGTCGACAGTGTCTTCCCCAATGCTGACGTTGGCAGTTTTGGGACTGGGGACGATGCTTATTTTCTGCTGAGGGCAGATTTGAAGTGATCTTAGTGACAGGTACATCTTAAGGCCGGTCTAGCGTCCTGACTTTGAGCACTTTCTTCTTTGTGAATGGCAACGGAGACCCGCGACGACGTACTGTGTCGTGCATAGATGCACGATGTGGACATAAGCGCTCATATATATTTTATTTAATCCAAAGTATACTGCCTTTGCAGATACTTTACAAACTGTCGGTGGAAATTGTGGCTCATCACATTTGCCCTACCTGTGTCTTTGGTCACTGTCACTTGAAGTGTTTCGGCGTTTTTTGTGTTTTTTTTTTTACAGCATGAAAAAACACCACTGTTATTAATATGTTTATATCTTTTGAGCATGCAGCATGTTGAGGATTTTTGTCAATGGTTAATCGAAGAAATGGTCTAGTTTATTGTGGACGCCAGTGTATATAGATTCTGTAATCCAACGCTTTCTCTGTTCGAGATGATTAATGTTTCCCTGTCTTTGACATACCTTATCTCTGAAATGCGCAATCTACTTGTTTTGGTTATCGACTGCAGGTTCTTTGCTATTTTAAATATATAAATTAGGATCATATCTAAATTCGTTTGTTCTTAGGATAACTGGTAAAAAAGGAATATCAGTGTAGGTAGAACAAACATGAAATTTTATGGGTATAATATTTACAATCTTCAACATCAGTTATTGGTTGAAAGTGTAAATGTTGTCGGGTTTAAAGAATCTATATGTGCACGTTTAGATTCCAGTTATAAAGGTTGGTCGAAAACTACCTGATAGCATGCAGGTTCTTTTAGCTATGGATCTGCATTTCCTCCAGGTACGATAACATGTTATATCCTGCTCATAGCTTCTGGCTAACTTGGTTTTGACATGTAACTATTTGTTTTCTGTTGTGTACAGACGTACATGTGTGTAAATGTTTAAATAGTTGAATTAATTTTGCAAACTGAAACCCCTTTGGAATTCAGCTTTAAAGTTGGTTCCAAGCAACCTATATTGGAGGAAGGAGGCTATTAGTCGATTATTAACCTCGAAGGTGTGGATTGTCCAGTCTTATGTCGATGACTGAGCTATCAGTTCCAGACTTATAAGTTGTGTTTGTTTGTTGTTTAATGGCACAATTAGTTATATTCCAGCTACATGACGGTGGTCTGTAAAAAAAGCCAGCCTGCCCAGACGATCCAGTGATTGATACCATGAGCATCGATCAACGCAATTGAGATATTTTATGACATGCATCAACCACGTCAGGGAGCCTGACCACACGATCCCACTAGTCGCCTCTTACTACAAGCATTGTCGCCTTTTACGGCAAGCATAGGTTGCTGAAGACCTATTTTAACCCTAATTGTCACGGGTCCGATAACAAGTAGGCGACTGTCTTGTTGCTGGAATGTTGCTGAGTTCGGCGTTAAACTTATCGTACAAAAATATATATGAGCTATTGAATGAAACAAGACAAGCGACACTGCACTTCACTTCTTTCATTTATTATTTATTCACTTTTTTATATCGCACTTTTCTTTTAACTTTAATGGATACATTAGAAGGTAAATATATGTTTAGAAGATGACACCGTCGCCGTGGTCTAGTGGATATAACGTCTGCTCGGAAACCGGAAGGGCGGTAGTTCGATCTATAAAAGGTGGAACATGCAGTTACCCTTCCTGGCGCTCAGCATTAAGGGGATAAATCAAGGACTGTTCGGTTCAACCACATTTCACGTCACCTCACCCTTTTTAAGATTATATTTCTTTTTTTTCCGGACACATGCACATATTGCATATAATATGACCAATGATTAAATCATATAGGGGATCAAAGGTAAAATGAATTTGCAATGAATATAGTTGATCGGTCAACATTGTAAGTGATCATTTATCAGGAATATTAAGTTTTAAATCAGGACTGATAATATGTAAAGTTATTTTCACGCATGGAATGCAATGTTACTTGACGGTTGTGAAGAAATCAACATTTGAATGTTGTTATATTATGTTTTTAAAATGTTGAAATAATTACATATCCTTAAATCAGTCATAGACCTAATTAAGAATAGACCTAAATTAAATAATAGAATCATAATAATATGTCGTATTAGAACAGAAGTTCTAATGCTGGGGTTTGGAGTGGCAGCTGGGTGAGTGTGTATTTCTACTGGAGAGATTGGGTGCCTTCCTTGCCAAGTATGAAGTTTAATTCAATGAGGCGGTTTGTACCCATATGTGTTCACTTAGGAAGATACCAGGGGTGAAATTATTTCTTGCCATCCCACCCCTCGTGTGAAATATGGATTTATAATATTTTCGTATGCATATAGTATATCACTACATGAATAATCACGTTTGCTTTGTTCAGTTATGCTGTTGTTCTTATGCACATGCATGGTTCAACCTTGTGTTCATGTCAGCTTAAGGGTTTACAATCATTCGGAACATCTGTTGAAAATAACATGCTAGATGGTTTTATTCCTGCGACATAATATCAATCGAACAACCAAATCTCGTTTTTAATATGCTTCGTGGATTCGTGTGCTATTTCTGCTATTTCCCTGATCATCAACCAAGCTATTCTTTAAACCATACTTTGAATGTTGTGTGGAGCTGAATCATGTCCTTGTTTTTAGGAAACGATACACTTTGTCAAAACATGAACAGAAAGAGAGAATCATATGCATTGAACTGATTTGATCATTTCTTAAACACATACTAGTTGTTTTGTGAATCCAAGCAAACTTCGTCATCAACATAACATGCATAGCCATATTGCTTCTTCAAATGTTAAGCATTGATATGACTAAATTGTTCATAATTTTGCAAATGCCATCTTTACTTTTTTGTACCCAATAAATTGATGTTCTTTGGTTTTATGTCCCACTTCCTTTTTAGAGTTAACGTAGGTATAATGTTCTCGCTTATGACATGTTCGTGTGTATGAGAATCGATGAAGTTCAAAAATCGGGAAAGAGTTCAAGTAATTTTAAAACCGGGTTTGGTGTACTTCCTTGTTCTCGATATAGCAGCTCACATTTAGAGATAACGAAACATTTATTAAACACGTATGATAAAGGACGCGTGAGAAATGACAAATGTTCAATGACTTTCCTCGTAAACAAGTGCTGTTGTTACTAATATCACGGATAAATGGTGTTAGCCGAACGTTATCGTAGTACCCCACAGAAAAGGTCAATAATATTGATATACTTCCTGTTATACACACGGCTCATGTTGATCTGACTTTATCAATGTTTAGTTCTAGCGCTACTTTTGCATGCATGAGTAGGATGGCACATGTGAAAGTTACAGTTTTGAAAATAATTATTAAGCCTATGTGATATGTACCTTCATGAACAAGAAAGGATGAACAGGAAAGTGTCCCATTACCAGTATATTTGACAGCGTTGGGAGCATAAGCTGAAGTGGTTCATAAAAAATAGCATATGATGAGGTATAATGAAATCAGTTTTTGCTGGATGATCCGCATACGCCAAGACAGAATAACGTTATCATCATATCACGGGAGCCTAGCCTAGTGGTAGCCTAGTGGTTAAAGCGTTCGCTCGTCACGCCCAAGACCCGGGTTCGATTCCCGACATGGGTACAATGTGTGAAGCCCATTTCTGGTGTCCCCCGGCGTGATCTTGCTGGAATATTGCTACGAGCGGCGTAACAATACTCACTTACTTACTATGAACAGAACATAATATTGATGTGCAATAGATCAATACAACAAACAATAGTCATCTAGTCTAATTATTAATCAGGTGTGTTTTGAATCCAGTGTTTGTGTAGATAAGTCGCAATGTAAAGTCCCTATGTAGATAAAAACAAAGGAAACACACTTCTCAATGGGCTGCTACAAAGAGCAGACTGAGCGACCATTGTAGAAATAGAGAGATAGTGTCCATAAGAAGGTGATAATTATTGTCTATAACATTACCGAGTATCCTTTTAACGGCTGGCTTTTTTCTTGGTCACCTGTCGTGTCCTCCTTTAATGCTTGTTTGGATGATTTGTGTTTCGTGAAAGGAGATATTGTGGTTAAGTGTTTCGGGAAGTTGCTTTTATACCCCATATATCCTTTGTTAATAAAGGTAAAAGGATAACCACTTCCTGAGTGTGTTGACTGACACTGCATAGCGGTACTCCTATCTTAAGTCGGTGGACTGTCAGCAAACCAGACAATCAAGTCATGTACCTGAAATCCTGTCACACGTTAAACGCATGATTGAATCGAAAACCAGGAGTCCATGCTGAGTGATCTAAATTATAAAATGTGGCGGGCGCAACCACCGCTCTGATCTACACGAGCATTTAATGTTCGCAGCGTTAAGCAGCAATGACTACAGCCCTTAACGTTTGTGTTGATATACACATGTTTATTCTTATTAAAGTGTGTTAGTGTGGGGAGGTGTCACCAGAGCAACCTTTCCTTCGTTTGAGTAAAAAAACACAAACAAGGGGACAACAGGTCGCTCTAGTGAGACTGGCGGTCGTTTTGACCAAGCTTTTTAAGGAGGGAACAACAGGCATGAGAGCGTATTAAAATTAAAACAGCATTAAGCATGCCTTAATGTTATATATTGAAGGCATATCAAAAGTGTAATCTAAATGGATGACACAGGCAGCCTCATGAGCAAACTCTACAAGTGGTAGTTGCTGTCAAAACCTTTAATCCTCAAAGGATGCCACATTTCGGTTGTTGTTTTAAAAATCGAAAGATCGCTCTCGTGAGACGCTCCCGTTTATATATAACCATTTAAAACAGATCCATGTAAGACTGCACTGAAAGGATGAACATGCATAGAAAAAAACATACCCAACGTACAATCGATCATGTATATATATTACATTATACCAATGTTGATAATCTAAGCTGCATGGGGCATGGGATATTTTTTGGTTTTATTTTGTCTTTGGTTAAAGCAGGTGACGGGATCACCAGACACACATACATATGATAACGTGGATGTAACCGTGGAAGGAAAACGAAGGGAGGCAGACAAATATCCTTCTTCTGAGGACACTGAGCACCAAGCTGAGGACAATGCTGTAGTCGGCTTGGGAGGATCTGCTGGTAATTATCAACAAGGATCCGAACTGCGTATTAACCCTGTGTACATCCCTACTACTGTAGGTGACAGACTGTCCACAACAGGGACATCCACAGAGACAGGTGAGATGGGTGGGTTGACGCCTTTGCATGACACTAGTTTGCAAGTAGGCTTATCATGCTAATAATATATCTGCCGAATAAATGGTTATAATGCAATTGTTACAGTTTGAAAACATATTTAATGATTCACATAATTATATGAACATATGTATATTGATCTGTACATCTAAAATATAGACAAAATTCAAGTGACAATACTGTCAGTGTTCCTTATAATGTTGAAACAATTTGACATACATCGTTCCATATTCTACTAATACATATGTGATATCAACCTGGGTGTTACCTTTGAGATGTAAGCTTAACAAAGATTTTATAATTAGGCATTGGCGCATCACTTGAAAGTCATACATTTTATTGCCAATAAAAAAGTCAAAGTCTCGCCCACTGTCATGGAATTCGTTTTATACAGCAACTACACTATTGTTTCAGTGTCACGATTATTTCTTATTCTTTCTGGTATTTAGTGCATTCAGACAGGTTAGGGCACCTCTGCCTCGAATTTTGTTGAAAATGTAAAACCTCGAGTTCGAGAAAAGCTTTTGGCTCTTGGGCGTTTCTCTCTCCCTCGAGGTTTTACATTTTCAACCAAAGTCGAGATGGCATGTTTTAATCTATAGTCCTTGTTACGAAAAGACATTTTGAAATAATTCCTCTCGCATTTCCTTTTTCTCTTAACAATGTGCCTGAGAAACATAAAACAAATTGTATGCAGCCAGACATATATTATGTATCAGTTCTGCAGGCAATCATGGAGGCCAAAAGTGATACGTGTGCATTATCGATATGGCGTTTGCTATTTGGATCAATGATATATCAAAGTGTGACTTTCTATGTTCATACCCACCAGTTTATTAATGATGATTCGTTGTTTCTTGATTATATTATTCGTAATAATATGATTTGCTTGTATACGTGTGTTGGCAATTTAACGCCGCACATAGCAATATTCCAGCCTGGAGCAAACAATCCAATGATTCACATCATTGGCGTCGACCAACCCAGTTGGCTTACAGTGACACCACGTCAACCAAGTCACGGAGCCTGACCAGGCCTCTTACAACAAGCATATACACACATCACCCCATGAGTAACAATAAAATGTTAATCCATTGTTTGTTTGAAATCGACATTATTTTACAATGATATATTTAATAAACAACATATATCCTGGATATGCAGTCTTTTTCATTGTTGGTCATTCTAAATTATAATTCAAATAAATCAATATAATTTCAAAAACACATGTTGTCCCAATATATGATAACAGGCCTCGTTGACATTTGTTTCAGGTGGTGACCACCTACATCCTGAATCGAGAGGAGAATATGTTGCTCTTGATAGAAATCTTGACCAGCCTTCAAACAGTTATGAACATCTGAGACTATATGAACAAATTGCCAACATATGAACTACTGGTATTCTGCAAAGAAACGGCAGTCTAGTTTTACACTGTTTTACAACACAAGTTATGTGACCAAGACCCTGCTTGACAATTTGCCAAATTGAGGGTACGTGTTCCTTGTATGACATAACCAAAATTGCAAAAAAATCACACACTCATAGAGAGTTTCATATACTAATTTAGAATTAATTTTCAAGATAATTTGTCACAAGTGTTTTTTTCTATCTTTCCTCAATGTCAGAATATTGAGATCTGATTGGTTCACGTGATCTTGAAAACAATACTATGTATCTTGCCTAGGAGAGAAATAATTTTCTGGGCGGGAGAATATATCCCTTATACCCCACTACAAAGAAAACATGTTGTACGTTGATTTATGAGCAGGAGAATTAATGCTGTATTTCCTACGAAGGAAAATGTTGCACGTGTTTTACGAGTCATTGAGTCACGTGACACAGCACAAGTTAACCTCAGCTGAATCAAACAGATGTTTCTTTTCAATCTGCAATGTGTTTTAATTCTTTTACAATTGCATAGTTTTCGTTGTAGCAGTATCACTCGGGGTATTACGAGATATTATGCATCCGTTTTGTGGTATAAAACCTAACGCAGGACTCATAAAACTGCATAATGATCAACCCTCATCTCAAACAATATATAATATGCCCCTGTCGTTCATCGTGTCATCATTGTCATCTATACACCTGATTGTTATTTCCTTACCCCACTGTGTCAAATAGTGAAATACAAATATTTCCGGTGAAGCATTTCATAATATATTCACAGTCTATGCCATTACCTTTGCCACGTGTAAATAAATCTCTTGTCTTCTCCATAAAAATTGAAATCCATTATTTCTTGTTCGACTACACATCGTCGAAAGAGCAAACGAGTACAAGTGGAAACATGTAACATGGTCCACATGTCTTGAATAAAGCTTAATAAGAAGTGGGACAACTTAATATACATTTTCATAATATCGTCGGATTCGTACAATAGAAGCTGCTTTAAGCAGATATGTGCTATGATTATACAAAAGAATAATGCTGTGACAAAAAACATAATTAATGTTCACCTCAAACCAGTATTGCTCAAAAGGCACAATAAAGTATTGTGTGTGTGTGTGTGTGTGTGTGTGTGTGTGTGTGTGTGTGTGTGTGTGGGTGGGTGTTGCTAATCTATTTGCCTGGGTCCCCCACTGTGATCGGGAATGAATATTGCCAGGTATGCATGCCATTTTCTACTTGCCATCAAGTATTGTGGCAGTGAAAGGGAAATACATGCAGCATTTCTTGATTAATAATACACATTATATATCTGTACTTCTTCAAGCCATGTTGGGCGAAGGGAGGTATAGGTTTAGCACAAGTATATATTTCTTAAAACGGAATGAGTTGGCTAATCTACCAACCCATTCGATTCAAACATTATCACAATGTTTACACATTTCCTTTATCAAGTTTAGCATCACTTCACATTGACGCATATGCACATAATCATTGTTGGGAAAAGGAATTCATAGTTAATACTGAAACTCAATAATTAATTCATATGTTAACAAGGAAAGCCGTTCTGACAGTCACTAAAGTTTTCCTTATAGATAAGGGATAATTAAGCATTTTTGTCGAGCATTAGGCATAGTATGTGTGCAACTACGGGTAATTAGGAGTTGCTGGGTTATGTTATATTATCGTTTGCATTGGGTCAGAGGAGACAGGTTGTTTAATGTAACCAGTAATACATCTTTGGAAAAAAGAGCATATCTCAATTTTGTATGGAACAAATCATTGCTGAAGTTCTCAACAAAGTCTGTTCCGTTATGAAAATACATACATAAGTCAAAACAGAATAGAAATGGACGATAAAACGGCAGCCAGTGTCAAGACCAGTGTTCTCCTTTGATGGAACGAGACCAGGCCTAAGAATTATTATCATATTGACTAAAATAAGTTATCTCCCTTTAATAGCGTGGTGAAAGAACCTTGTAACGATATAACAGCACGTACACAATATTTTATAAACCAGGACTGTTTTATCAGATATCGCTACACTGAAATTACACCACAATGCTTTACAGGCCAGATATTAATGCGTTAGTACTGTGCTACTAGTGACACATATATCTTTACACCATGTATATATTCTAATTTCCCAAAGCGCAGAGTGAGCGAGTGAGTGAGGTATGATTTTACATCGCATGGACAATATTGCAGCCATATCGCGATGATTATTATAAAATTCCTGTCGACAAAGGACAGTACAACAGTAAGGTAAATATCACAGTGTTGACATAAAACATACCTGAGCAATATTAAAACAAAGACGTTTTCAGTCAATTAGTTATTAGAAAGTAAAACCAGGCTAGAGACCACTGGCAACCAAAGCTAGACCACCTAACTGGGGATCATGGGGACGTGCAGTGCTTTTGCTTTCTGCATGATTCCCAGCAGGATTTATGACATCGCTTTGGTCACGAGTGGTTGTACGCAATGTTGTTCCACCTCTGAGTTTGGCCAGTTGCCAAGGTGGTGTAGACAGTAGCCAGTATGGTGAGATAGTAGAAGATCAATATTAGCTGCGATAGTATGTGGCTTAATTCTGAACCCTAGAGGAGGAACAAGTTTTGTTGTTTTGATTAAAATAGATTTTCATACATGGGATTTAACACACAATCGTATGTTGATTCGACGGATTTGAGTAGTGTAATTTAATCACGTATTGCAATGACATTGCCGGCCTGTTAATAACTATGATATAAAATGTGGCAAGCGGCCTCTCAGACCAAACTTGTGTTTAATCTTTTAAAATGCCATGCTTCCAGGTAGTGTCATAAGCTTTCTCAAGATCGAAAACTATTGACACTGCATGTTGTTTGTTGACAATATCGTTTTTCGCAAACGATTCTAATCGTACTAAATGATCAATGGTACTTCGTTTTTTGTGGAAACCACATTGCATATTTGTTAGTCGATTATTGGTTTCTAAGGACCAAACTAATCTATCCTTTACAATTCGTTCCATGGTTTTACAGACACAGATGGCTAAAGATATAGGGCGGTAATTAGATGGATCTGTATGATCCCGACCAGGACCTATTACCGTTGCAAACACATGCAAAAGCGAGTCAATTGTTAACCTGAAAAAAACACGGGAATATATAGAACAAGTCAAACTAGAAAATTGCATCGTCCATTAAATGTTTCACTGATGAGTCAAATTTGAAAATGTTCTCCACAGGATCTTGAATGATGCCTTGACTGTAGTAACCTTGATCAAATAGCGTTACAAGCACGTCAGCCCTGCTGCCCAACTGTCTCGTGGAGAGATATGTCATTCTATCTTTTACATAGATCTTAATTGGAACAAACGAAGCGGTTTGCTGGTCTCTTATGTGTCTGGCTAAGATGGATCAGTGGAAGGGATGTTTCGGGTATTGTCCGATATCAGATATACCGAAAGCTAAAGTTCAGCGTTCAAATATATTGTTTTCTCAGTGAACGTTACATTAGCACGAACCTACTCATAATGCGATTCGTTACTATATTTACATTTGCTAATGCTTCTAGTACAGAAATGAAGCAAATGAATGAGTAAGAAAACATAACTTCGCACACTTGTGGGGAGATTTATAATGTTTTATAATGCATCGACATTACAAAATAATCTTATCATGTTGGTTTAAAGAAAATATCGCGTGTTTGAATATTCTATAGAATGTTACATTTAGCGGAAGTTTATATGCATAACAATTGAAATAGAAAGAGAAACAAGGAAAATGTTATGTGTGAATATTTATTTGAGCGTTACATTTCACGGAAGTTTTTAGATGATGAAAGGTTATATGAGTTGACTGTACACAATACAGCTGAAGTACAACATTTAAGGCCTCATGGAAGCTGTCAAATGTGTAACGGAAGACGTACGTCATAAAGAGCAATATCGTATTTACAATACGATGCAACGATGGTAGTGATTCCTCATCAAGTACCCCATGCTCCGTGATGATTCCTGGTCACAAGGGACTCAGTACCCAATGCTTGTTTCCCATTGATGATTCCTGGTGGCAAGAGCACAGAGTACCCCATGTATGTCTCTCCGTGATGATTCCTGGTCACAAGAGCACCCAGTGCCCCATGTATGTCTCTCCGTGATGAGTCCTGGTCACAAGAGCACCCAGTGCCCCATGTATGTCTCTCCGTGATGATTGTTACTCACAAGAGCACCCAGTACCGTATGCGTGTCCCTAATTGATGATTCCTGGTCACAAGGGCACCGAGTACCCCATGTATGTCTCTCCGTGATGACTGATACTCACACGAGCACCTATTACCCTATGCGTGTCCCTCATTGATGATTCCTGGTCACAAGGGCACCGAGTACCCCATGTATGTCTCTCCGTGATGACTGATACTCACACGAGCACCTATTACCCTATGCGTGTCCCTCATTGATGATTCCTGGTCACAAGGGCACCGAGTACCCCATGTATGTCTCTCCGTGATGACTGCTACTCACAAGAGAACACAGTACCCCATGTATGTCTCCCATTGGTCATTACTGGTTGCAAGAGCACCCAGTGCCCCATGCCTGTCTCTCCGTGATGATTCCTTGTCTCAAGAGAACACAGTACCCCATGCTTGTCTCTCCGTGATGATTCCTGGTCACAAGAACACCCAGTGTCCCATGCCTGTCTCTCCGTGATGATTCCTTGTCACATCACCACCCAGTACCCCATGCTTGTCTCTCCGTGATGATTCCTGGTCACAAGAGCACCCAGGACCCAATGCTTGTTTCCCATTGATGATTCCTGGTGGCAAGAGCACTGAGTACCCCATGTATGTCTTTCCGTGATGATTCCTTGTCACAAGAGCACCCAGTACCCCTATGCTTGTCTCTCCGTGATGATTCCTTGTCACAAGAGCACCCAGTACCCCTATGCTTGTCTCTCCGTGATGATTCCTTGTCACAAAAGCAGCCAGTACCCCATGCTTGTCTCCCAGTGGTGACCCCTGGTCACAAGAGACCCAAGTACCCCATGTTTGTCCCCCGGATCACGATGCACGACGTGGCTGACTTAGCATC